ACAAAATTAATTATATGTATAATTATGTTTTATTTTAAACTTTTTAAAAATTTATTACACTCAAAATCGATTTATTTAAGATATTTATTATTCATTAATATTAAATAAATTGTGGATGTTATTTTTCATTTCTACAATAAAACGCTTTCAACTGGTATTGCTTCTGTTATTTTGGTTATTTATTATTACACTGAAAAGTTATTAAATATTTTGTTGCATTATATTAAAAATGTATATAAAGTTGGGGGTTGTATAAACTATTCATGTTATAAATTTGCAAACGGAATTTTTTGAATATTTTTTTAATCATTGAAACGCCAGGTGCTTTATAACAAAGTTCTTTGTTATAAATGTAGGTAAACAAAAATAAAATAAAAAATAACGCTACTAATTTGTTTAATAAATTTGATACTATAAACCTCGATACTAACCACTCGTTGTTCTCTGCATGTATAAAAGCTAAACAACTATTATCAATTCAAGTATCGAAATTAACATACTTAGATATAGATCTTTAACCAACAAGGAATGTTTAGTTTCCATAATTGCGTTCAAAACATTATTTTTTTTTATTAATAATAGCCATTCGTGCAATTACGGGTACCAAGGATTTGTGTTATCCAGAAAAGATCTTATTGTTACTTGAATACTGAATACAAAGATTTTTGTGTAGATAATATCTACAAATTGTTACTAAATAATAAATTTAACATTAATCTACTTTTATTATTCGAGCATTAATAATGAACAATGTGTATGTTACACATCAGATAGGTTTCAATTCCAGTTAAGGAACATTTCTTTCATTAATTTATGAAATATCAGTCCAGGTGTCATTTTTGTCTACGTTAGTTGTGGAGGACTTTTCGTGATTGACCTGACTCAGTTGTCAGGTGAGCTCAGGGAGCTGTGTAATGGGACAAATGTAAAATAAAGGCGCTCTGCACAGGGAGCTATTGAAAAGGAACTAAACTGGTTGGTAACTTGGGTCACTAACCAGTTACTGACTCATTAGTAGCACAGTTAGGAGCACTCATCAGCGATCAAAACCTGTAGTTTGTTCAGTTTAGTCATGAACGCAGCAATAGCATATCTGACAGAAAAGAAATCATTAGATTTGACGTTAGTTGCGTTGTTGAAATGCTGCTAAGTAGTACTAGTGTTACAGGTGCAAATTGGCATCAGGAATCTTTTGCAAGATATGCATCAGCAGTGGGTGGAGGCATCTCTTCAGGCCTTTGTAGCAATCCTGACTATGAAGAATGCGTCGTCGATGGGGATAAGGATGGAGGGCAAGTATATCTGACTGACAAAATGTTGTCCACAACATACAAAGCCTTTCTCTTGAACTGTCGCACTTCTTGATCACTCATTTTTGCAGATTTGGCAACATACTGAGAAGAAACATTTTCAACGCTTTTGTTTTCGAATCCTTAGCAACATTCTGCTCCTTCGTCGAGGTTGTGGCGTTTTTACTTTCAAATATTGCAGGAATGCTTTGTCCACAGCGTCGTTTTTTACACCCCCTGCTGTAGGTAGTAGCCCTGATGACGATGGCTGTGCTATTAGGGGGGAAGGTGAAGGAGTTTCTGTGTCCAAGTAATCCACAATGCTTTCATCATCTACGTGTAGTCCTTCTTCTTCCTTCACTTAATATATCCTTGGGTATAAATTATGTCAGCAATTATGATTTTGATTGTTGTTTATCATAACATGGTCAAAATTGAGGATGGCATTTAATTGAAATACATTGTTTAATGACTCTCTTTAAGAACTTCATGAACATTAGTAGCCTAATATAGGATTGCTCATATTCCAATTACTTAATGATTTTCATTGTTTAAGGCAATCTTATAAATAAATTTACCAATTATAATTAATTAACATAACTCATAAAGCTAATTTTTAAATCGTTGTAACACTTAATCGTTTTAAACTTAATATAATCATCTCATACGTTGAATTTTTACCTTTATTTCATATGTAAATGTGGTCCTAAAGGTAATATCACATTCCCAGGTCGTGCCAAAACGCAAATTGTGCGCCGCTCGAGACGCTTTAAAATGGAACTCAAAGCTTCCCCATTTTCGTGGAATGATATCCAGGCGAGCACGATAAAAAGTTTACTGCGCATAAAAGCACCCCCTACTAATGGTATCGCTCGTTAAAATTCCGAAAATTTCAACTAGGGCCACTCTGGGAATGACTTCTCCGCCAGTCAGAACTTTCCTCGACTTTCCACGGCATGTCGATGTTCGCTATTTCTCCTCTGCGCGAACAAGGCATCGGAGTTTTTCAACATTCCGTTTTCTGAATTTTAAAATCAACTCCGGGCCGAAGTCGTCAAAAATTATGACTTTTGAAATAAATTATTACTTTCTTATAAAGGGGTTCAGTTTTATATCCCTCATAATTTTTTATGTTCTATGTACCCCTTTTAGATTTCACTTTTTTTTGGGTAAAATAATGTCTTATTTTGATATGCACAGGACTTGCCTCAATAAAATTACCTTTATCGTCCTCTTCTACTCGCAGATCACGAGTTTCCTGTCTTTCTTACGAAGATCTCCATTCTCATTAGTCTTTCGCCCGGTAGCTGGCGACTTTCGGCATCAGCATGAAAAGCAGGTCGCTCTCGTATAAGTTTTCCATCCCCCCGCCAAAGTACGAACGAGCGTTCCACCGTCAGATAGAAGACACCGTCCGAATATTAAACAATCGTCTCTCGGGTTTCCGAAAACCCAAGCGTGTCTTGCCCGGAAGCAACTAAGGAAACGGCCTCCCCCCGAACGAATAGGGGGGAAACTGGAAAAATGGAAAATAATAAATAACGGGACGTACGTGCTGCGCGCAGATGTGTCGGTCCTGGGCGACAAAATAATTCGTTTTCTTTCGCTAGAACATGTCCTGGGATGGCACGAGGCGATTTCTCTAAGGGACGAAGGGTTCATTTCCTTGGTGAAGAAATTTAGGTTGTCTTCTGACCCAGAACCGATTGATGTCTCTTTTTTTAGATACTATGAACTTTATGGAAAAAATTCTTTTAAAAATTATTTACATACTTTTAATAATAACAAATCAGTCAATTCAAAGATCTGAGAATCATATCATATGTGATTAGATCTTTTAAACCAATTTGTTCTGTAAAATGTTACATCTTAATAAATAATACAAATGTTCCAAGACAGAAATGGATAGAGATCTTCCAAAAATAAAATAATTTCCTTTTAGATTCCAAAAATACTGAGTTTTTGTTTAACGTTAAAACCGAAATGTAAATAAATGTACCTGGTTGTAGATGACGATGTCATCTTAAGAAGAAGAAAAAAAAGGAAAGTAAAAAACATAGAAGACGTTTAACGTAAAGTTTGCTTTAGTGATCAGTCGGCGCCTCGTCTTCCGCACCTTTATGCCGGATACTCGTAAACTTTAACGCGTTTTTAAATCGTCGTCTAAACATGTCGTTCCTGCTAAGTAAGCAGTTGCCTCCCAGGTTTTTACGCCCGTTGGCCACCCTTCTTGTACCACCTTCGTCCTACACCGCCATCTCTTCATCTGTTTTTGTCGCGATTACTATATGCTGGGCGGCATCCCTTTGATGTCACAACCGCCCTTCATTGTTTATACACGTATCTGTCGATGTTTATTCGTCTGAACCATCCAAAGATTAAAATGGTAAACTGTTGTCTCTTTTTAAAGAATCGCTGAAACATTTAAGTATTTCGTTGATTTAATATCAATTATTTCTTCATCCATCAAAATAAAATCGAAATCAATTTTTTATTCACTTTGAAATTAGTTAATAGAAATCCGGATGATGACAACAATAATGCTCCACGATGGAGATCTTGAGTGACAAGTTGACGGAAACCGACGGTCCACCAATTTGCGGTACTCCGCTCTGCTCTTCCCGTTTCGAAACATCTCCCTTCCAGCGCGTGGTTCCTGCTGTCGGTCTGTTAATACGAGCGTCGTCTATGTCGAGCGTCGCGACGGCAGCCTTTAACGAAAGGACGGGATTTAATCCGACCGAGTGCACCCACATCAAAGCGAATATGCATTTATTACGATGAGGAGAAGTAAATAAGTATAAGGGAAAGTTCCGATTGACGATGAGTCGACGTTCATTAATGTTAACGAACGACGTTGACGGCGATGCGGCGGCGTCCCGACGCTAGTTTTGGCAAAAGCGACTTCGCCGAGGACGTTGTTATAACGGTCACGGTGAGGGAAAAATCAACAGCGTTGAAGGATGCTTTAGTTTTCAAGTGGAAATGCTGTCGGGAAATTGCAACCATCTCCTGTAATCATTTTAATATTTAGTTATAATGGTAGATAGTGTTATTTTAGATTTTCTTCAAAATACTTTAAGTATACAAATTTAATTTAATATTGAATTTAGTATCAAGAACACCATAGAAAAGCTTTTAGTCGAATGTTAATAATTAGTTAGATTCATTGCTCACTATCAAATAGTGGGAGTAAACATTGTCTATCCAAAGGGTTGGCCACTATTCAACATCCGTTCATTTCGTAGTTAAGTGAATGACTTCCATTAATATCGCTATAACGTTAATTGATAATGATTTCTAATTCAGTACTAACTGACAAGCACGTACACGAAACCCTATCGAAAACACATTTATTACGAATAGTAATTTCTACATTTGATTTACTATTAACTCAGTTTTGATCGAGTATCATCTGCCATGTGAAATGATTAATGACTAATTTATGGTTCTGAGTAAATTGTTGTAAATATCCAATAAATGTTGAGATTTCTCCCAAAATCTTTTTCTATTTCGATCGAAATATCTAGTTCTGCATCTATTCGTTTACGGTCAAGGAACTCTGGAAACTTTGGCAAACTCGAACCTTCGCATCAAAGTACTTACTTAGGGTACAACGACGGTTCGTTACTTGTTAGAATGCATCTGGTGGAAGTTTGTTGCAGTTGTCGCTGTGTGTCGAATCGAACTTTCAAGAATCTATTGTTTCAGGGATCGAAGAGCCATCCGTTCAACTCCAATCGCCAGAATCCGCATCCTTTATTACGAACGGTGGAGAAGTTGTACTCAGGTGCCATTTGGAAGCTTCCGGAGATGTCCACGTCGAATGGTTTAGGTAAATATTTAATGAAACTATTTCATAACATGAAAAAAGGTAGTGTGTATAGTAATATAATACTACATAAGTAAAGTAAGTTTTTTTGTGAAAATAAAAGTTGAAAATGTTATCGGAAAGAGAGAGCGGTGTACAAGACATATCGATTTGCGCAAAGTAAGGACGAAATATTCTTATCGTTCTTTTTTCTTCGATCAATCTTTCACTAGGGAATATGCGCTTGCAAGTTTTGTTACATTTAAAGTACGGGAAAACTGTCTAGTCCGGTTATATCGTATAAATATACAGTGAATCTTTCTGGAAAACTTTGCGAAAGCTTTTTAAGAATATTATTTTAGTAATAATGGGAAAAGTAACTTTTTCTATTAAATAATCATTGGCTTAAAATAAACTTTTTTAAATAAATTTTTTAACAAATTTAAAATATTAGATGTAATAATTAAACAAACATTTATTTTAATGTTTTGTTTGTTATTCTTGCTTTAGAAATTCCGATAGATTAGTAAAATCGTCGAAGCATGAAATGAAGAAACGACGACTGCATATCAAAGAAGCCAGTCCTTCTGACAATGGAATTTATAAATGTACTGCTCAGAATCAAGCCGGAATCAAGCATAGCACAAAAAATTTCGCTCTTGCAGTAGCCGGTATTTATTTATAACTTTTAAAACAAAATATATCGAATTAAATCGTTTCATTTTTTAATTATAGGAAATCAGACTGCCTTAATAGAAAAAGTACCAACTAATCAATTAGTTAAAAAGGGCGAAACCGTATTTTTTCATTGTTCGTACCAACAAGCGGATGTAATAGAATGGTATTTTAAAGATGTGGGACCATTAGAATCTAACAATAGGTATAAAATTAATTAATTTAATAATAAATTAATTAAAATAATGAATTTATCACTTTTTTAGAGTTACTTTGCACAAAAACGGTACTTTACAAATTGATAACGTCCAACATTCCGACCAAGGATTATACACTTGTGTTGGAGTAAAAAGTGAATCAGATGAAGTGCCTCAAAATTACAACGCCGAATTGCATATAGCTTGTAAGTATTCAACACAAAACTATCAAAAACAATATTTCTACATATTTTTTTATAGATATTCATGATTTTGTACCATCATATTTCGAACCAACATTAAATGAAGACGCAACTTACATAGTGCCAGAAGGATCAGAATTTCAATTAACTTGTTTAGAACCAAAAAGTATGCCACCTGCCAAGAAATGGTGGCAAAGTCCGGCTGGACATACAGTAAGTGTAAATAAATATGCTCGAATGAAATATCTGCTTAATCTATACTCTAATCGCATACATAATAAAATTATTGGTACAGGTATCTGATAAAGGACAAGTCAAAGTGGATGACGACGGAAGATTAATCATCGAAAAAGTAGAATTGAGTAATGCTGGAAATTATACTTGTGTAGCTGAAAATATAGCTGATATTGTTCAACAATCAATTAACTTAATAATTACAAGTATGTATAGATTTTTTTATATGATGAAAAATTTGTCTTTCGTTTTCTTTTGCTAAAATTGTTGTATACCAGTGTACTGTAATATTATGTTCTGATATCGCGTTAATTTTATATCTACAAAGACAAACCCAGGTATCTCAGTGGATATTTTAACGTTCACTATCTGTATAACTTTCGTAGTTCTAGTATTTTGGCCACCATTGGTAATAATATGAATAGGAGATTCCCAGTTACTTTTGAGAAAACGGAGTATCCCCATAATAACACAAACTCACAAACCTTATAATTGCGGGTTGCATGGAGTACTGTGGATGTCATGCTTTATCTTGTATTTTGAGTTAACACCTTTGGGAATCCTCAAAAATTTCGACAAGAACATTTATCAACACAAATAAATCTTGTATTTTTTTGCACTAAACGAATATATGTACCACTGATGTACACCAGAAATAAGAAAAGAAAACGCTACATAAATTTCAGCAATTCTTATTATACTTCCATCTTGTTATTTATTTATTTTATTTTTAGCAAAACCAAAAATTATTACCCACCCAAATAGTGTAACCGTTGATGAAAATGAAAACAGTTTATTAATTTGTAATTTTGAAACTGAATCGGAAGAATACACAACCGTAAGATGGAGAAAAGATGGAAAGCCGTTTAATCACGATTTCGAGGAGGGATCTGCAAATCCGCAACGAATCAAAATTTTCAAACATAACGGAACTCTTCTTATACAATCAACAAAAATATCGGATAGAGGAGAATATGTTTGCGAAGTTATTACAACCGGATTTAAACCAGTTTTGTCAAATTCAGCGACGATATCCGTTATTGAAATATTAAAATTCGCACCTCCTCCGGTGAATAAAAAATTAGAGCTTGGTACGGTTGCGAAAATTCATTGCAAAGCTCAAGGAACACCTCCTCCGATTATTCATTGGGAGAAAATTGGAAGTAACTCGGAAGGATTTGCTAATCATATCGCCGATATGAACGGTACTCTTCATTTTAACGGGGTTTTAGTTGAAGATAAAGGAAAATATACTTGTACTGCCAGTAACAGCCAAGGAATTATTAATGCTACCGTTACAATCGACGTAGTTGGTAAGAAAATTGTTTTAAATGACGAGCAAGAAATATCTTTAATACATTTTTCTTTGAATAGTTGCTCCTAAATTTAGCATCCTTCCTAAAACTCCTACGGAAGCTATTGAAGGAACGTCTGTTTGGATTGATTGCGTTGTTGAAGGGGACCCTAAACCAACAATCCAATGGGATAAAAATTCTAAAATGAATGATTTTGATAACGCTAGATTTAAAGTATTAAAAAATGGAACGTTGTATATCACTGAAGTTCATAGAGAAGATGATAATAGTTATGGGTGTACAGCCGGAAGTAGCGCAGGATTAAACAGAAAAGAAGTTAGATTAATAGTTCATGGTATACTTAAATAAAAATAAGTCTTTACAATGTTTGTTTTATTAACTTTGTTTTTAAAGGGCGTGATCATCAAAACGAAAATGCAAATGAAGGATCAGCAGTAACTAAAGCAGTTTTAATAACGATGTCGGTTGCAGCAGCTTATATTATTTTAGTTGTTGGATTAATGGTTTGGTGTAGATATAGAAGAAGATCAAGAAAATTGCCCATTAATGATAGTAAGTTTCAAGTTATAATTCTTAACTTTGTTAAATCTAAATCATTTTTTTTTATTAATTAGCTAAAACTGAAAATGGAGATATAGATCATGCCGAATTAAAAGAAAATGCAAACGGTCACACACCCGGCCCATCAAAAATAACAATAGACGGCGAATCAACGCTTAAAGAAGGCCAAAAAAGTGATGGCGCGGAAACGACCCATTCCCAAGGATCAAACCAATCGAAAAAATCAAAATCCAGCTACGATAAATTCGCTCTATCGCGCACACATTTAAAAGAAACAAAACTTATTGGAAGAGGCGAATTCGGAGATATTATGGTGGCAAAAATTTCCAAAAGTGTTATCGGGTCAACAAGCGATAAAAGAAATTCTGGGTCTTCAACTCCAAACGGGGTTAATGATGAAAAAGATGTTCATGTTTTGGTGAAATCTTTATCACATACTAAAGACGAACACAGTTTGACCGAATTTAAACGAGAAATTGATATGTTTACAAAATTAACTCATGATAATGTTACGAAATTGTTTGGATTGTGTCGTGAAGCTGAACCTCATTATATGATTTTAGAACATACTGATTGGGTAAGTATTCATACAAGTTTAATATCTTGGTCTTCTTGCCATAGGACCTAGTCCTCTCTGTTCTATCTCATTCTTGTGATAAAGATGTCCAACTTTTCTGCCAGTATTTGGGCGATCCATCTCACCACATCCTGCATATTTCATACTCTGTCTCAAATTATAATTCCCTTTATGCTTCTTAAGATTCTTATTTCTGTAGTCCTTATTTTTTATTGTAAATTTTTTAGGGTGATTTAAAACAATTTCTTGTTGCTACTCAAAAAGGCGAACCACCACAATTAACTCCCGTTCAATGTGTCGCGATTATTCAACAATTGGCAAGAGGAATGGATCATTTAGCATCATCAAGAATGATACACAAGGATTTGGCAGCCCGAAATTGCGTTATAACATCAAAACTTGTCGCTAAAATTGGTATTCCAAGAACAACCAGAGATCCATACAGCATGGAATATTGTAAACACATGAATCATGTAAGTTACCATAAATCAACAATTTACTTAAAAATCTAATTCGTTTATGATTAGATAATTCCACTACGTTGGATGCCTTATGAAGCAGTTTATGAAGATGAATTTTCAACGAAAAGTGATGTTTATGCGTTTGGAGTGGTGATTTGGGAAATATTCTATCAAGGTGAATTACCGTTCCCTAAAATGAACGATAACAGCTTATTAACCAAATTAAAAGAAAAAGCTTTGGAATGGAAATTCCATAAAGATACGCCTGAGGAGTTGCAAAAATTGCAAGAAACGTGTTTGGACACAAACCCGCAAAATCGGCCGACGTTCGCGTCAATGGTAAAAGAAATCGAAGAAATTTTAAAGTCCATGTAAATAAAAGCTCCGAAAAATGAAGCTGAAACGTATTAAAACTAAACGAATAAAGAAACCAAATTATAGACGAAAAGAGTATGTGTAAAAGCTTCCAATGAATTTAGACGAATCATTAACGCCTTATTGCAATGTTTAAAAAAAGTTCGATTTTGTGTGTTTCTTTATGATTTATTGTTTCTATTTTTTTTTATTGAATATTTATGCTAGCTTTAAGAATAAACGCTGTATGTGACCTGGTCAATTAGCAGCAAGAAATTCAGAGTCGCTAGTCTCATGCTGAAAGGTCTGAATGTATGTAAAAATAAAATTTGTACATATCGTTTAGTTTTTAAGTATTAAATTTTAGGCATATCACGTTTTCTCTTCTCCATACTTATTAATTTATGAACGTTTCATGTACATTACATCTCGTATAGCCACTATACACTGCCAAATGTACCGATAATGTGACTTTTTTAATTATACTTACCTAATTAAGAAACGACTCTCTTCTCACTGTAATATAAATAATAGTTTTTCTATTGCGATTGATATAAGATCTTATAAGGCACTTAACTAACGACTCTATCAGTACCATGCAATAATGATTAACGCCTGATGATTATAACATAAGAATTCACAAATTTACAATATCGACTGAATAAATAATTTAATTTGAATTTTATAACCAATTTTTACGCAAACTTTTGTACTTCCAATTTATTCCGTTTTTTTGTAACGAATTGTAAATGTCGTAATTACCAATCGTAATAGCTTATCAGTACGTCTTTAAACGTTTTGAGCGAATTAATAAACGTACGATCATGAAAGAACTGATACTTAGCTTTTGTAAGTGTAATAGTATTCACAGTAAACTTTTTAAACGCTAATAATAAACGTAACTTATCGTGTAGTGTACTTAATAGTTACATTAATAATTTTAGTAACTTGTATATTTAAATAAAAACAAAAAATCGGTTAATAACATGTAATCATCGACATTTTACATACTACTCAATAAAATATTATGTATAAACTTACAATCTGTCCAATGACTACTTGTAGCTTTTTTATAATGATTTTGTATTTGTATTTGCCCAATTTTATATATTTATGCGTAATAATTATCTTTGTGATATGTATCCCAATAAAATTTATGAGATACAATTATTTTTCTTTAATTTGTTTCCTATAAAGTGATATAAATTGTGTTAATAAGCAAGAATTTTTAAATTTGGCGGTTTTAATAGAACGCCCTCTACAATTCAAGTTCTTAAACGGAATAATTTGACGTTTAAACGTCAAATCTAGAATTTGTAGGTTATCTTAAACCAAACAATAACAATTCCAAGTATTTCCACGAAAATTATAAAATGGTATGCGAAAAATGCGAGAAAAAACTTGGGAAAGTAATCACGCTCGATACTTGGAAAAGTGGGGCGAGAAATACGACGGAATCTGGAGGGAGGAAAGTAAACGAAAATAAAGCGTTAACAGCAACGAAAAACAGGTTTAGTCCATATACTTCTAAATTTGAAACTTGTCGGTAAGTTTTTTTGGTAATCGTAGTTGTTGATTTAGGCTAGGTACGCATAGTTCATTTTCAGTCGGCCGATAGTTTAGTCAATGAATAACATTTATTAACACGAAATCGTCAAGATCTAGCGCCCCTTATTCCATCGCGATTGCTTATACAAATATTGTACTAATATTGTTGTTTAGTTCACTTTCCAAGATATTAAATGAATGGTATCGTCTAACATCGCGGAGGTCGCTTGCGGGCGAGGCGCTAAATTTGAAATCGTCAGTTTTTCAAGATGTAGCCCCTCGCCCGCAAGCGACCTTAGCGAAGTAAGGACAAGCAATTATTTATACAAGTATTATACGTTTAGTTCACTTTCCAATGTATTAAATGAACGACCATCCTACAACGCCAAAGTCGCTTGAGGGCGAGGCGCTTAATTTGATATATCAACACGAAATCGTCAGTTTTGCCAGATCTAGCGCCTCGCCCGCAAGCGACCTCGGCGAAGTGAAGATAAGCGATTGCTTATGGAAGTATTATACTTTTAATTCACTTTCCAAGATATTAAATGAACGATATCATCCCACATCGCCGAGGTCGCTTGCAGGCGAGGCGTTTAATTTGATATATCAACACGAAATCGTCAGTTTTGCCAGATCTAGCGCCTCGCCCGCAAGCGACCTCGGCGAAGTGAAGATAAGCGATTGCTTATGGAAGTATTGTACTTTTAGTATACTTTTCAAGGCATTAAATGAACGATATCATCCTACATCGCCGAGGTCGCTTGCGGGCGAGGCGCTAAATTTGATATATTAACACGAAATCGTCAGTTTTGCAAGATCTAGCGCCTCGCCCGCAAGCGATCTCGGCGAAGTTAGGATAAGCAATCATTTATACAAGTATTGTACGTTTAGTTAACTTTCCAAGACATTAAATGAACGATATCATTCTACATCGCCGAGGTCAATTTTCAAACCAATCCAACTAAACTGTTTCGTCGACGAACAATCGACCATGTGTGCCTAAATAAAAAAAATAACCTTTCTACTTAATTTAATAATATGCATAAATAATGTTATTCCTCATACAAATTTTGTTTATGATCTCTAATGATATTGATATCAATTTCAAAACAGTATTAAACGAGACACACTCAAGCTATTGCAATCTTTTACTTTTCTTCCAAACTTTCCCTATATGTGACTCGCCATATTGGTAAGTATGAATATACCATATTAATAAATTAAATTGAAAGGTTACAAGAGTAATAATATATTTGCAATTAATTGTTGTGTTTTATAGAATTTGTAGACAAAAAGTTCACCAAGTTGGATCTCATTACTGCCAAGCTTGTGCTTATAAAAAAGGTATATGTGCTATGTGTGGTAAAAAATTACTTAGTACAAAGAATTATAAACAATCATCCGCTTAAATATGTTATAGAAAATATTTATCTTTAGTGGTAAATGTTTGTATAATACTTATATTTTTGTATTAGGATAGGTATTTCTTTAAGGTTATTTTTGAACTATGTTGTGTTTGTACAAAGTAAAAGAAAATAAAAAAATAAATTTAAGTTATTTTAGTGAAGTATTTATTATTAAAACTATTTAGTTCTCTGTTTTTTGCTTTTACCACCAAATTTCTTACTACCTCCTTTCTGGCTTGAAACTTTCCTTTTAGATTGAAAATTAAAGCTTTTTCCAGAAACAGCTTTTTTATAACCATGTAACCAATGATTCCGTTTTTCTTCCCACGCAATTTGTTTCAAACCTACAACAACAATAACCAAATTTGAAAAAATACTTTATTTTTTATTCATCTTTGATCTTACCTGCTTTATCTTTATTTGAAACAGCACTAGAACCACCAGGAGCTCTCTTAGAATTTCCTTCATCTTCCAATAAAGAAGCAAACTCTTCCGCGGATGCAAAAATACCATCAAGATCATCCCCTTTCTTTTTATTTATCTTTTTCTTTTCTTTTTTACCACCATCATCTTCATCCTCCGAATCAAACACCATATCACTTAAATCATCATCATCAAGATCGCCAATTAATTCATCGTCATCATCATTCATTTTTAATTCATCAAAATCTTCATTATCGTCATTTTCATCGTTTGAATCATCCATATCTATGTCCTCATCATCCAAATCAATATCATCATCATCATCGTCTTTATCTTCATCGTCGTTATCTTTGTTCGCCGTTTTCTTTCCTTTCTTTAAATTGTTTCCAATTTCGTTCATAAAATCAATATCATCATCATCAGCGACTTTCCCCGTTTGCATTTTATCCAACATTTCTTCAAATTCATCGCTTGCGACCGAATCAGCATCGCTATCATCATCATCATCCTCATTCGATTTGTTTTCTCGTCGTTTTTGCAAAAATTTGTACACAAATAATTCGTCGACGGGAATCTTTCGTTCATTTTGATTAAGATATTTCTCTGAGGTGACAGAAATCGATCGGAGACCCAACGGGAGATAATGTTTCCGTTTTCCGAACGTTGGATGCGCGCCTTGTTTCATCTCTTCGATTTTTTTAGGATTTTTAAAAACAAATCGATCCAAAAATCTTATTAACGTGAAATCTTGTAACGGATCTCCCGAATAAGTAATTGGTTCTCCTTTTAAAATTTTTTCTGCGAATAAAGCCACGGAAGGGTGATAATGATTTTGTAAATTTAATAATTCTAAATACGCAGTGTATTGAACTCCTGAATATAAAGGGTTGCGATTTAATGGGTTATAAACTTTTAAATCGTGTTCTTTTTTAATCGTTTGTGTTCTATGGACCCAACCGGAAGAGGAAGTTTGAATTTTTTTATTTAATTCGTCAATATCAGGCTTTATATCAACTTCTTCTTCGATTTTCTTTTCTGAAGCTTCTTCGTTAATTTTTTCACCAGGTAAGTTATCGTCATCTTCGATTTTAATAACATTCTCACCAACATCTTCATATTTTTCATCCCCATCATCATCGAATTGACTTAATTCTTTTGATTCGCTTTCTTTTAATGTTAAATGAAGCAAATTGGGGTTATCTTTACATAATTGCGAGATTAAATATAACATCCCACAAGCAAATGAAGGTTCTAACGATAATGTTAACTAAAAAATTAATAAATAAATAGAAAATCCAATTTTTTTTTTACTTAAGCGTTTTACCTGTAATAAACGTTTGATAAACGACATAATCCTATTAATTTCTTTATCTTTACTAAGAGCTTTAAAAATTAAATTTAAAAGTATAGCTTGGTGTGTTGTACTTGGTAATTTTGGATCTAATAATTTTTTATATAAAGCTGAATAAAACCTATCATTTATGTCGTTGGCGTAATCAGATACTTGATACAATAAAGTTAAAGTATGGAGGGCTACATTAAAATTGGCGACATGTACCACTCTATACATTGTATCAATATGTTCAGAGATTTTATTTAATTCTAATTTGGCATAAGGATACGCACGATTTACTCCCATTAATAACGCGGACATCATCCTACTGTCCACATCACCCTAAAAAGTAACTTTAACATATTTTATCATGAAAATTATAACTATTATAACCTTTGCAACACAAAGCTTGAAAAATGCGAAATAAACCTCAATTAATTTTCTTGCTACATTTGAAGATTCGTGGTTTAAATAGAACTGTGATAAAAAGCACAGACCATAATATTGTGCCCTTTGTGAAATATTTTGTCGAAAAACCAATTTTTCAACTTCCAATAAAACCACTTCTTGCATATTTGAATGTTTTAATAGCAACTGGGTTAAACAATAAATTGCTTTTGATGCTACTTTTTGTGATGGATCACCAAGTTTGTTGACGATGTAAGATAATAAATTCTAAAAGAAATAAAATCATTTTAAAATACTTTTTAAAAATTTAATATCATTTTAAATACATACCTTTTCTTGTTCAGGATTTCCAGCTAATAACTTATACATAGCAGCAATAGCTTTTTCTTTATTATGATCAACAGTATCTTGAGCTACTTTATTTAGCGCTAAAACGAAAGTAGTATAAGTTTCTTTTAATTGATCCTCAAAATACCAATACGCTAAATATTTTCTTCTTGTGACAGCATTTCCTGAACTTAATTCGTTTAATAAACCGATAGGTCTTTGATAAAAAGGTTTTAATTTATTATTTGGTCTTAATAAATCAGATAAAAACAATTCTGAAAGTGTCTCTAAAATATAATATATATTATAATAACGAAAGTATAAAAATATGATTTACACACCCATTACAATTATACATTCTCGTTTCTTTCCTACTTTTACTAATGACACCATGTTATTTAACATGTCTAAAGTAGCAACGGGATTATTTTGGATTAATATTGTTCCAGCTGCTACTTTATCAGAAACTGTTCCTTTGGATGTCGCCGTTTTCATCCATCGAAAATTCGAGTTCGATTTAGAATTTTCTAGAAATTAAAAATTGCATTTAAAAACTTTTGATACTTAACTCACATTAATTATGTAACACAATCAATTACTAATATTTTATTAGTAACCAGGGATCGCCCCATTTAATAATTTTTTATATTAATCAATAATTTAAATCAAAAGAAAATAAATATATTGTTTACATAGGATCGCTGGTATGTATGGAAACAATCAGTTAAAACTAAGATATCTAGCAAAAAATGTTAAGATACAAAAGTTATAGTGTTTTTTAAATACAAAAAAGACAAATTAAGTATAAAGGTCAGTCAAAAAGTTTGACGAAACAAAGTTGTGTTCTTTAATGGAACACCTGGATATTATTCCATATTTTGGTGCATCTCGGAATTCTAAACAAAATTCACTAACACATCATAAACCTAAACTTAACCATTTTTTTGCTTATTGCAATACCAATACTGTGATATTGGTTGCATACTTGCAATGATGACGTAAGGGAAGGTTGCCAGGTCTCACGATTTATCATAACATCTCATGATATTACCTTTAATCTCACGATTTTATTACAAAAATAATATAATAATTAGTGTTAATAAAATCAAAGTAAAATCATAGCATTTTTAACTCGAATTGTAGGTTACTGTAAATATCTCTATTAGTTACATCTATTCACCGCTAGATGGCGCTAAGAAATTACTTAAATTGTAATATTTTATTTCCTTTTAATTATATCACTTTTATATACAAACGTTGTCTAAACTATTTTACTTGAACCCTATGCCTATATGTAACACATATTATTAAAATTGAGTGATTTTTAAACAAATTTCAACATCTCACGATTTTTTATGAGGGCTCAAAAAATTTTAGATAATATAACTTACTAATATTATAATTTGCCACCTCAGAATCCCAACATTTCTTAGCTTCATCTTTTAAATCAATCCAAACTTGGTCAGAAACAAGCTTAAAATTACCAGGGTCTTCGGATATCTACAACATTTAGTTAAATTATAATTCACAAAAATTATAAAACGAATAAATAACCAACCTCATCGTACCACTTTTTAGTATCTGTATATTCCCCAAAACCATCGTCAAGATTATCTTTGACGTCCTCTTTAACTTCTTTCTTACTTTTAGTTTTAAACTTCATGTTTACATCTGATCTTGCACGTTTTATTATCTTTTAGGTTATGTAGTGTCGCCAACTGTTAATTCAAACAACACAAATAAAACAATAATAATTTTTTCTTAATTTTGTTTTTAATTATGGAAAATATTTTAATGGAAATGATTAATTTTGATTACTTAATATTTTATAATCGAATTTAGAAATATGTTAAAATTAAATTTCGATTTCTTAATAAAATTCGTCATCCAATTGCGTTGGAAAACGTGTATGCCGTTGCCAACCGACCTGTCTAATAATCCTAAAAAGTCAAAAAGCAAAGCAGAAGACAGCCGGTGCTCGCCGGATGACACACAACAAATCGAATTGCAATGGCGTACGCGAAGGTGACACTTACGATTTTTGTATTTTCTTGTGCCTTCTTATTAACCGCTGGACTGAAAAATGCCGTTATTAATCTCGATGAAACGAATTGGACGGATATGTTAAATGGTGAATGGATGGTTGAATTGTAAGTAATAATTCTTGCGATAATAAAAACGCCGGGACGTGTCAAAGACTTCAAAATGTTGAATGAATTTTCACGCCCCAAAAATTAAGCTGCTTTTTCTGCCTTTCTTGTATATTGAAGTTAATCGAAATTTCCGTTATTATTAATATATAACAATATATTAAAATTTTATCGCTCATTTGATGTACAAATTTCATTTTTTTTTGTAACTTATAGGTTATGTTTAAAGTTTTCTTTCCTAGTTTTGTGTTTTTCACTCAATACATTACACACTCAATTTTATTTTGAGTTTAAGGTTTATAATTATTCTTTAAATAAATCTTATAAATTCTATATGGTTAGTTTAATATAAATTACTCTGATACTTTAACATTAATGGTTGTCACTGCCATTAGGAGGCTCTTAGTAACATAAAGAAAGATGGAAAGGTTGATGTTGCATTTAACAAGCGGATGGATGGAGTAGAGGAAGCCCGCCTACATGTTGGATGGACAATATCAAAAGAATGACCAACAATCAGATTCAGATAGCACAGGGGAGAACCGAATTTAACAAAATGAGGCAGTCCTATGTCCAACAATGGAAGCAAAGGGCTTCTTGATGATATTGATGATTATTATCAGACGAAATTTGTTGCAACATGTTTCTGGTTTCATTAAATTCCTACTGAATGTCTTCAGAAAGTAGCTTTTCCTGAATCTTCTTCAGATGATGTTGCCATAGAAGCATTATCAGTAGAATAAGACAAGATTTTTTCCAGCAAATATCAAATTCTGCTAGGACATTGTGAAGTAATTTCCACTGGCCTTCAAGATCGCCTGATTTAACCATTCCAGACTTCATTTTGAGGTTGTTAACCTTAGGCTCTTGAAGCTCTCAAAGATAATATCCATCAAGAATGTAAGAACATATTGCTGGAAGTTCTGTCAAGAGTGATGGAAAATGCCATAAATCTGGCTGCCAGAATTGATTCTCAGCATTCTTTAGCATATCTTTAAACTGCTTACATTTACTTCTTGTATATCTATTTTATCAGCATTGGCATTTATTGATAATTTTCTCATTAAATAAAAGCATATAAGCAAAAAAAGGTTTTAAAAAAATCTTTTCTTTGAAAATGGGTCATTTTCGCTTTGATAAAACAATTTTTAACTGTCATATAAAATGTATTTGAGACGTTGGCGTAATCCTGTAATTTTGGTTTGTAATAAAAATCGTTTTATTACATCCATCTTCGCTATATTAAGGATTTTCTGTATTTAATTTAAAATATATTGAATTTATTTGTAGGGAACAGTGCAGAGTTACAAGATTTTAATTTTAGAATTATGGTTATTCGTGCGCGTTTCCTTTTTAATTTATGACAAATATTTACTAACACACGCTCTATTTTTACTCCTGCTAAAACGCTGTGTACATTTCTTAGTGTTTTCTGAAACAATTCTGTAATAATTTTCTAAAATAAGTATTTGTTACACATTTTTCGTCAAAATTATCAACTTTTTATACCAAATGTAATTATTATATTTAAATGTAATTATTATATATCGCTGGCTTATTTTTATCACGAGTTTATACACTTTCAGTTTTAACGTTTTTATTAATTTAAAACTTTTATCTTATCAATTTTTTTAATTCAATTTCATATATTTATAACATCATTTTAATTTTTTAACTTTTTTATATTTTTTTGTAGTTATGCCCCATGGTGTCCAGCTTGTAAAGCTTTAGAATCAGTTTGGAAAGATTTCGGGACTTGGTCAGAAGATTTAAGTATCAAAGTTGCAAAAGTCGATGTAACTGTATCGCCAGGACTTAGCGGACGATTTATGGTCACTGCCCTACCAACGATTTTTCAGTAATTAAAAAAATTAATTAAAAATTTTTTCTTTTAATTAATAAAAAAAACTTTTAGCGTTTTAAATGGTGAATTTAGACAGTACAAAGGTAGCAGAGATAAGGATACCTTTATTTCCTTTATTGAAGATAAAAAATGGAAATTAGTTGAACCTGTTCCATCATGGAAATCTCCAGCTTCCATTCAAATGTCTATTGTATCTGGATTTTTCAGATTATCACAAATATTAAGGGTAAAAAACGAACATTTTGATTCTATGATTGTATTCATAAAATATTTCTTTTGGTGTTTTTAGCAAATCCATACACAATTAATGGAAGATTTTGGACTTCCAACTTGGGGATCTTATTTAATATTTGCTGTTGGTACTATTTTCTTGGGTGCTCTGCTTGGATTTTTGTTAGTATGTTGTATAGATTTGATTTATCCCCCAAAAACAACTGGAAAAGTAAATGATATTAAATCAAAGGTGGATAAAAAAGCTGATAAAAATAGTGGAGATGAATTGGTAAGGTTTTATTACCATTTAATATTTTAAAATAATATTTGGTGTTTAGGCTGATGAAGATATCAAAGATGATTTGATAGATGACCAAGAAAAAGATGAAAATAATTCGCAGTCTGATTCGGAAGTTAAAGAAAAGGCGGGTAGCAACCCGAACAGTCCGGTTGTTAAGAAACGCAAACCTAGAAAGGAATGAATCGTCGAAGTGTTACCTAATTAATTGTTACTAAAGGAAATAAAAAATTAACAGGATCTATGAAACTGCTCCAGGATTGCTTCAAAACACCATGAAGGTATTATGACTTTCTACAGGAAATAACTTTTTTCTTATTATACATACCATTATTCCCATTTTTTTATCATAAATTATAAAAATTTATTGAAAAGGAAATGCATTCAATAGCACAAATTTGTACATTGTGTATAAAAAAGATAACATGTTAACCAAATATTAAAAAAAAAAAAAAACAACAAAGAACAGATTTTTCCTTTTTGCATTTAATAAGAATTATTCAGAAATATATTTTTTGCACTTACATTATTCGTTAAGAAATAGTGTTGTTTGTTTGTTTCTTTACTTTCAACATTTTGTATCCATTTATTTATTGTGAGACACAGATCGTTGAGATTCTGTTTAACGAAAAATTCTGATCTATTTGAATCGTTACTTACTCATTCCAAGGTTGTGTGTCTTTAAAAAAAAAATTGTTTAATAAATTTTATATTTGTATAGCTTGTGAGTGTGTTTATTTTTATAATATTTATTTTTTAATTGGTACAGAAACCTTTTAGCAAAAGCAAATTGCATCAAACTTTGGTAAGATAATACATAATAATAATAATACATCTATAACTAGTAAAAATGTATATTGCGCTCCATATACGCCTATACAAAAATTTTATGGTATTTTTTGCCTTTGGTACACTAATGAACACAACGGGGGATTCCCGGCGTTGTAAAATACAGGTGTCTCAGCGAGACCGGTCATTAGACGTTTCTGGGATTCTGGCCACAATAAAAATTTGAGAATTCAGATTTCGGCGATTAAGGGTTAAAAAACTAAGATATGGTACTTCCAAATTTCGAAAAGTCAAAATCAAACGATCCAAACAGCCATTCTCGGCACCAAAACATACTTCATCATGTTGCTTAATCATGTTCTGAATCCTAAATTGATATCCCAAAAATCGAGTATTTTCTGATCTTTTGAACAAATGTCTGCTAGAGGACATTTTTTTAGAAAAAATCGAATAACTCGAGAACGGCCGAATCAAATTGGAAAAAGTAAAGTTGTTCATAAACCATGAAAATAGACAAATCTAAATATATAAAAATATATAGGGTATTCCACTTAAAAAAATAAAGTAGGTGGTGACTTCCGATATAACCGGAAGTGCTAGAAATCTGAAAATATTTTAGTCGAAGAGAACACAATTGATAATACTGAAAGCTGAAATTTTTATTTTGACCAGAACCCCAGAAACGTCTAATGACCAGTCTTGCTGAGACACCTGTATATATATGTATTGCGCCAGAATCGCATCAAGAAAGCTCAAGTGATGAGAGTGACATCATATCTATCAGAAATAGTTCATGAAAGTGATTAAACTTTATTTTACAGAATATTCTGGTGAAAATTGACAAAATACAATTTTAGAAAAAAGTGTGTTTATTTCTTAAATAATATCAATCATACATAACAGTATAATATAAATAGGCACATGGATTTCAATGCAAAACGAGTGGAATAATTACAAATTACTAAACACTAAAACATACAATAAAATAATATGAAAAAACAGATCTATATTGCATTATAATTTTTTTTGTTCGACATAAATTCTAAGAACATAAATATATTAAAATATAAACCTAAGAGAGCAAACAAATTACATACGTAGTGCGGCCATATAAAAATAGAATTCATCAACGTAACTACTATTTAAAAAAATAATTACTAGTTACAAAGTTCGCAAATTTATTAATTTCTTTTTGATTTATATATATTTCATTTATTCATGTTCAACATCTGCGTTTACTTTTATAAATGAAATTTGATACTATTTTTTATACACACAGCCCTTCACTTAAATTTAGTTTATAATATTAGCTAAGAGTATACACAAATAGTAAGAATAAAATAATAAATTATGATTAATAAAAAAGAAGAAAATGAGATATTAGAATTTTTACGTGAATGAGTAGTATGTATTGGCACGGAAATCAAAGAAAAATAACCCAAAGACAAAATTAATAAATATTGTCATGTTTTGTAATGAGATTTCATGGATATTCGAGGTATCTAGGTGTGAATAAAGTTTTTAATTTATCACCCTGTAATAATCATATGTATTTCAATATTGCCAAAAATTCGAGAATTATTCTAATAAAAAAAATAAGACGAGAAATTTTAAAAAATCCGACTTAGTCTCTACGCCAAAGAACATCACAAGCATTTAAAATTCAATTTTTATTACATTCATAAAGACTAAGTGGCAGTGGAATAGCTAATTTTACCCTGAGGGACGATAAAAATGATTAATTAACATCTTAATTAACATAAAAGAACGGTTATGAGTAGAAGTAATGATTTAACTAGGATTTTCTGGTTTTATTTCAATTGAAAAAAAAATCAGTCGGTTTTGTTCGAGAACGGATAATTTTTAAATAAAATTACCGTTACGTATCATTCGAGGAGAGACATTTTTCAACGATTTGACCAAATGTTTGTTTCCCGACATTTGTGCTTACCATTTGAATACTTTTGAAAAGTTGGTCAGACGACATATCTTCGGGAAGTCTCGTTAAGAACTGAGCTCCATGTAAAAAGTCCATTTTCATTAGAGTATCTTGATGTAAATGTAAGATTCCTTTCAAAAATAATTAAATCAACCACAAATTCAATCAAAATTCAAAAATAACTCACCTAATCCTGTTCTAAAAAGAAATTCATCTCCATCTCTCAAAAAAACATCCCAAACACGACACGCCACATCCAAAGGCATCGCTTTCGCATAAACCGTATAAATCCAATCCAATAAATACATATCGGGTGTTAAACCCGATTTGACGAAATGCCAATATAATTTTGGTAAAGAATAATTAAAAATTTCGTTAAAAGCTTTGTAATAAGACTGCATTTGGTGTTGATTTAACGTGAACGCTGCGATGTGTAACGGTTTGTTTAAGAGGTTCGCAAAACATACAAAAGCATCATAAGGATCCATATTTAATATAAGAATAGCTGCGATATAAGACATTCCTTGTACATAACCTACATCAGGTCTATAACACACATAAGCTGCTAATAACGAATGAAGTACCTCCGAATAAGGACCGCCTTCTTGAAAAATACAAAGATTCGGAAACGTTCGAGCTATATCCAGTTGAATTACGTCCAAGCTACTTTCTTGATCAATATTAACTGTATCGATTTCAGGCGGTTCTGGACTACTCAATCTAATTTGTGCACGCGAAAGACATATATCATGTAGTTGAGGAGTTAAGTTCAAATCGTTTCCTATTGCTAAACGCCAAACTTTTCCGCGCACACTTGAAGGAAGCCCATGCCACCATAAATCTTTAGTTTTCTTTACACAATACCTATAACGAAATGTATTAATTTTGACTTAATTGAGAACTTTTAATTATGTTACATAGTATCCCAATTTGCTAAAACAGTGTGCGTAAAATATTTTGTTGCATTCGCTTGTTGCTCCTCCAATTGTAACTGAATTTTTTGTTGTTTCTGTTTAGCCGCGTTATTTAGTGCCTCTTTTTTCTTGGCAGCGATTAAAATTGCTTGATATTCTTCCCTATGTCTTTGTTCTTCAGCTTCATTTTTAGCTGGTAACGTAGATGGTCTAAAAAGTAATTTCTAAACGTAGTAAATTAAAAATTATAGTAAAACCTCGATATAACGGATTAATATGTGAAAGGAAGTGTTCGTCATAGTCAAAAGTTCTAATTAAAACTAGAATTAACATTAGACTTAGAACTAGAAAGATTCGAGTTTAGATGTGCGTGAAAATTAAAACGCACTAATACACACAATTCAATTTTGGCAATGAGAACAATATTTGGTCCCTTAACTCGTAATTCGCAAATTTAATTTTTTTTTGTTCCTGAGGTGTTCAAAATGACTTGAGGAACACGATGAGTACACACAATTCAAATTTGGCAGTAGCAAAAAAAATTGCAAAAAGTCTATTCCTTAGCTCTAAATTACAATTATCATTTTTTTTTTAATTTTTCGCTTGTAGAATATGTAAAATATCCCTTGTAACACGACTAATACACACATTTCAATTTTGGCAATGAAAAAAAATTTTTCCCTTAACTTTTAAATTCACAATTTTATTTTTTTTTTTTCTTGAATGTTCAAAATGACCTAAAGAACACGATGAGTACACACAATTCAAATTTGGTAGTACCAAAATTACGCACATCATGTTCATAAATAAACTCAAGAAAACTATTAATAGAATAACTTAAAAATATTTTGTCTGTTATATCGAAGTTTTACTATATTTTCTTTTATTACCGTTTATTTAGTATTAAAGCGGAAGAACTGGCAATAACATTACAATGTTGTGGTGAATGTGGAATAGAACCATCATCCTTTGCTTTCGCAAAAAGCTTCCAAGAGAATACATTTCTGCAAATCATAAAAAAATTTGATAAACTCTTAAAAATTAAAAAAATATATAAATATACTTATTAAAAAAGGTTCCTTTCTTTTTTTTGCAACTTTTGCTTTCACTTAAATCCTTCGTTGGTGTTGTTCTTTCATCAGGGTCTAATAAGCTACCGGAAGGTGAAAAATCACTTAAACTTGAAATTGTACTTGATCTACTATGATGAGGCCTAACATTTTCAGGACATAAAGTATTATCTTCAATTTTATTAATAATATCATCAGATTCTTCCACTTTCGATGTTTCAACGATGTCCTTTTTAACAAAATGTAATTGTTTTGTAATGGGACTATACGCCAATGAAATATTTTCAAGCGCTTCATTCAACGTGACTTTTTTAACATCGTTTTTACGGACTACAGGGGATTTCTGTGTACTACTACACGTAGCGTATAAATAACCATTACTAGAGCTCCCTTCGGAATGTACCGGGTCCGTGTCGTTAGTTTTTAACTTATCATAACGTTCCGGCCACGTTTTAAACCACAAATCTTGAAAAACCGGCGAAACCGGAGGACTGTCGCCGTCCGTCGTCGGCAACAATTTAGATTCTATATCACAGCACTCGACAGTTTCGATATCACTACCGTTTAAGGACTTATTTTTTTCTAGAGAATTCGGTAAGCTTTTGCTTCGAGAATCTTCCGTTACGTTTGCGGAGTTATTACTTTTGAGTAGGACGCGCTGATAAAAACGGCCCTTATGACCCATCGGCGGCGTCGACTTTAACACATTAAAACTTTTTGCTAGGTCGGCGTTGCACCGGAGCAAAGTATCGCCGTTCCCATTTATTAATAAATCAGTCGTTTCCTCTACTTTATTATTGTATGAATTGAAATTGTTGTAGTCGTTGTCAGAGTCGATAGTTTTCATATTTCATAGTTACTTTTGGTGTTTGAGATAATTCTTAGTGATTGCATAGGAATTTTTAAAAGTCTGAAATAAAAATTAATGTTTCAAAATACATAATTGAGATCTGATACAATTAGAGATATGACTAAGAAGGATAAGATGGAAGTTGGAGATCTTGAATCATTAGTTCCCATATTAATATTATCTTTCCACCACTTCCCAGCGGTGAAGACCTCAGATAGACGCTCTGATATGCATATGATGTAGTCTTTATCGCAAACTCGGAGAGGAAATTGATACTCGAGTGGTCAGATACTCTACAGGGGAGCAGGATTTTGAACAATGTGAAGAGTCAAGTTGTAGTAGTGAGAAGGACGGAGGAACAGGTGGGTAACATCCACATCGTATGTGATGATCAACGAATGTGGCTATTCACCAGACGGACAGTGTTACTGAAGAAGTCAGAAACAGAGTGGCGTCTTTGCGTTTGTCTTCCGCACAACTCATTCTAACACGTTAAAGAGGTGTGGGAATAACGCATCTCCCTATTTGAAACCATTGTTGAATGCAAAGAAAGTCGACAGTTTTCTTTGAAGTCTTACTGTACTTGTAAATCCATCTACACAGGATTTTGTGAGATTAATTAATTTTTTTGGTATGTCCAGTTCTGCCACACCTATTTAAAAAGCTGGTGCAATGTGTTGTTATATTTATTCCCTGTATTACTCCATTATCTGCCTAATAGTGAATATCTGATCTACCGTTGATCGATGCCTACGAGAAATTATTTGGGAGAACAAATACCTTCATAGTTAAAGCAAAAGCAACACATATAAAAGGGCTATAAGACCCATCATAGCTTACGCGGCAAGCACAAGACCAGATATAAACAGGACTTTACGAATGATGAGAACAGACGAGATGAAAAATACTAAGAAGTGTACAAGACAAATCTCGTCCAACTTCAAAGACGTCGGCAAGTATTGTTCGTGATACTTGAGGCGGTCAACTTCGAAGACGTTTGAGAAACCATGCTCTAGAAAAGGTTGCAACATGGCATCATTCATGCCATTATATTTAGGAAACAACTACTAGGCGCAGCTGCGTTGACAGAAAAAGTTGCAGAAAGCAACTTCACCTAATAATTACGATAATGTTTTGGAAACGACGACATCGTCATTCCAAAAAATTTTAACCCAAAACAGCTAAATATGGAAGTTGAAGTAATCTCATTGAAATCATTCCAGCAGATTCAAAACCATCTATGAAATTTTGTATCTAGAAAATATGATTTTCTTGGATTTTTGGAACTTTTACCAAGTAAATGTGTTATACATTTTAAATTGTTATTGAAATAGTTTCTATTAAAGAGAAGCAAACATACTGAGATGGTACATCTCTATCTAATCCATGTAGAAGCTGCCAATCAAAGGTCAACTACCCAAACAACATGACATCTCTCTCAATTATTGTTTTGGCATTGGGTAGCACAATTTGTAAATAAATATTATTTGGTACATTATTTTTTGATGAATTATTTGACTAGTTTCAAGATAGTTTTCAAGAAACTCAACAATTTTTAATCAAACATGCACACTTTTCATACACCTGTATTTCTAAACTACAGATTCATAATAACAAATAAATTTTTATCAGCAAACACGTGGAGTACTTTATTGCATAATTTAATAAAATAAATCAAAGCTTTGATAAATAAAAGCCAGTGATAATAAGAATTACACATCTATATCTTTATTTAAATCACTTCCTTAAAGATTAGTCAAGGTTTAATCAAATACTACACAAAATGCAAATCAAGGTCTTTTTAATTTATAAACTGCAATAGTAAGATAATAAGATAGGAAACACAAATGCAACTGGAGCTTTGGTTTCTGATTTTTATTAGCAGCAACATATTTCAATGTCAAACTTCCTATTTCTTGTGCACCTTTTTACTAATTACGGTTAAAAATACTTAAACGTTATGTACGATACCTGTATATAATTCAATGCTGATATTTGACACCACTTTTTCACACATTCTTCTTGTGAACATTAATCTAAATTAAACCAGGCGTATCTGTTATTGTGTCATTATGCATTCACTTTTTGACAATAAACACGATTGCATCGAAATTAGTCACCATTCGAGTACCAATTGTTGAATTAAAATTTCCTAATATATACTTCAATTAAAGTTTAATAAGACTATTATTAAAAATAAGTATATTTATCTATATAAACAAATAAAATTGATATTTTAGACATGAATTATAACTAAAAACCACGTTAAATAATCAATTTATTTTTGTGAAATTTAAAGGGTTAATTTTTTTCAGCAGTTGGTACTGGCAAGTTTTCATAACTTGTCAACTTCAACTTAACCTCAATTTTTAAAACATTTATTTTCAGTTTATTTATAAATCCTTTATAAAATTATATTAAAATGAATGATGAACGCTTTTTAGTAAGCGGCTGGGAAGATGATTTAAACGACATTGACGAAGAGGAAAACCCCCACGGTAACATTTTTGCAATAACTATAGCTATGAAATATTAACTTCTAAACTACTTTAGAAACTCCGGAGAAAGAGGTTTTATGGGCTGCCGAGAATGGTGAACTGAATGATTTAAAACGCCTTATAGAAGCTAATGCAGAGTTAATAAATATTGTTGATAAAGACGGTTATTCACCTTTACACAGGGCTTGTTATGGTAATCACATTGAAATGGTTGAGTATTTACTTACGAAAGGTGCTAATATTGGAAGTAAAACACAAATGAAATGGGAACCATTACATTCTTGTTGTCAATGGAGTCATACTCAATGTGCTATTAGATTATTACAAGAAGGGGCTGATGTTAATGCAATTTCAGATGGAGGTAAATTAATGGGAATATTTATTAACTCATTATTAAGCCAATTATTTACTGTAATATATCAATTTTATTTTTGTTTTAACGAATTTATTAGTTTAAATTTGTGTTTAGTTAATAATTCTTATTTTTAGGTCAAACACCTTTACATGTTGCTGCTAATCATGGAGCTTGTTATGATATGATTCAATTACTTTTAATGCATCCGTATATTAAGCCAGAATTAGTTAATAACAGTAAGGAAACTGCTGAAAATATTGCAAAAAGGAGTTCTAAGTATTATCATATTTTTGAGATGGCAGACCCTGCTATACAAGGACTTTCTGATATTTAAATAACAGTATTATAATATAAGAATGTATAGGATAAGCTGCTATTTATTTCTGATTTTATAACTGAATTGGTAATAGAAAACGAACTAATATTTTTTAATTATTATAATTTTTTACCTCAACTGATTCTATCAAACCCCCCTATATGTATAATAAATATCATTTTGTCACTGTGCAAAAAATAGACTTGAGCATTTCTTGGGTATTAGCATTTAGGTATACTTCCTCAAAAGCAAGATAGAATTAAAAAAGTTATCAGGTTTTTATTAAGGTATTATGGAAACCTGAAGGAAATTATTGTATAACTAGGTTGTCATTAAGTTGATCGACTACTTTTATAGACGCCTTTATGGCTAAGAGTACTTATTGAGGAATTCTTGGGTTTCTTGAGATTTCGTAATTCAATACATCATCTAGAAACATGAATGGACGGAAATGTTTATTTTCTAGAATATTCTGATCATTTGAGTCGAGGTCTCATACAAATAATGAGAATTTCCTTGTTTAAAAATTAATGCACGAACTGCAAATTGCTGTAAAACATGTAGGATCTGCTTTAAAGTTAGAATTGAACGTTAGTTAAACATTAGATTTCACAATCAATGTCACATCAACGCCATCAACGAAATTTATTTCGTATTTTGTTAATAAATAAATAACTATTAAAATTATTTTTGTCCTAATACTTATAAATGACTTCTTGTATAAGGTGTATTTAATAGACCACAAAAAATTATATGAGCCAAGGGTTGAAAAATTTGATTAAACAATTTGAGTTTTCATTTTTTTGAACTTTGTGATCTAATTAAAAAATTAGCGTGGTACGCCATTAAAACGTTTACTTAACCGGACAGGACACGAAAAGGACATTTTTCAATGTGTAACCGGATATTTTTTGTGATCACATATCTCTACATTCATATCCCATTCCCGCTTTTAAACGACCTTTTTTCGAGCACATTACACGTTCCGTTTCCTCTATAAATTTCGTCCTTATGAAACACAAATTCCTTTTAATTACTAACGTTATCCATTTTGCATTTTTACGGTCACCTGCTTGCCAAAAACCGCAGAGAAGGTTACTAGTCAATCCTTTAAATATTTTATTACGGATTTTTCGGAAAAAAAGTCATCTCATTACGTGATCGATTGAATTTAAAGCTTATCCTACCTCCATTAGGATTTACAAGTCAAACAAAGATTATCCCCAATCCGGTTCAACCCACGCACATCCCGGATTACAATTTTTCGGTGAAAAGCATTCTGTCCCTCCAACAAATTTTTTTCTTCTCATACCCGGAAACCGAAAGGAGCTAACATAGAAGAGTTTAGAGAGTCGTTATCCACGTCTTCTGCGTCGTTTTCTGCGGTTTTACGCTCCGCGGGATTTTTATATTCAATTGCTCTGAAAGGAACTTCGGAGACTTGGTACGGCGGGAACACATACTGCCGAGACCGTACTTCGGCTGGTCTACACACAAGAAATCGCACGCCATCACTCCGATCCCAGAGAAAAGTACATACACACGTGAACACATTGTCGTCTGAATCGTTTCGCTGCCATGTCCAACATCCATTAGGGTTTTTACAGGAACCCGTTTCGGTGCCCTGTCGATGGGGAAACTTGCTGTGGGTCGGTTAAATTTCTTGGAACGTCAACGAGAAAAGACCTGAGCGAACATAATGGAGATGTTCTTATATAGGTTGTAATGTATAATATTTTCGTTCTTGCGTGATGTTGAAACATAACATGAAAACATTTAAAATTTTTTAAATTCACTCAATATAGAAACAATAGCTACAAATTTGTTGGTTAAAATTTTCCAAATTGAATGGTATCAAATTGTGGGTGCAAATGTTAATTAGAAGAGCAAAATTAGGTTTTTTTTCAAACACGTCGATTTATTTGTATTAATTCTGTCGAGTGTTCGCAATTTAGCACGTTACTGGGATTACTGCAAACGTATGCAGTTCCAGTTCCGGTTATTGGTGATGCGAAATTAAAACCGCCGGGATTTAGGGAAACCGGTTGGAATGCGCACCCCGAAATGTGATGTTCCAATAATGACGTGATACGTTTTTGGCCTTTTTCATTTTCATCGAAATGACAAAACATTTTTTGAGTTTTTCACCTAACGAGTTTTTCCACTGATTTATTCACAGTGACCTATTATTAAACCAAACGGTTGTGTTGGAGTATCCTTCATAGTTGATTATGGGTTAAACAAATTCATTCTATTTCATAAATTATCTATCTTGTAAAATTATTCATTTCAAATAAATATATCGGTGAAGTAACGATATTTACAGTTCAAGTTTTCCTATTTGATCAGCGTAAGCTTTTCGTAATTTTGCAGTGCTGTGTTCGCTTGGTAAACACTTTCTCGCAGATTTTCCACGAGAAAAGTGTAAATAAACTTACTGGTGCATAACATCTTGTGTAAGCCCATAAATGTTTAAAAAATATATACTAGATACAAATATGTAAATTAAGAAATGCTTTATTTTGATTAAAATTTGTTTATGTAAATCGTTATTTCTGCATATTATCAAGTTAAGGAGTATTTAGGTATCCTTGAAATATGCTGGTCCGCTTGAAACGCTCAAACGTAAATGTTTGGTTTGAATTAGTTAGTTTCCAAGATGTAATCATTGGATTACATGAAATTCCGATTCGTGAATATCCTTTAACAAATCCTACAGCAGAGATCCGATGCTAATGTTTATTGAAAATGGTTTGCTTTCGGATTCCGGTCAAATCAGATTGAGTCGTACAGTTTCAATTTTCAATTACCTCACATTATACAAACTGCACCATTACAACTTGTGCGGCAAGAATTTTAATTAACGTTTTCTACATGGGGATAAGCAAAATTATTTTATCAGAGAAAATTTTCATTTCGTCCGGAATTCGCTGCTATGCGCTAGAAAAATGGTAAATTTTTGTATTCCCCGATAAGCGTGTTAGTGCATGGACTGTGTTTCAGTACGAATTTGCACTCTGGATTTGGGTCAGCGCAGGTGATAAATTACAATTTGTTGTTTGTATAATCGAGATTGGAAACTGAATGTAGGTACTCCACAAATCGAATATCTTCAGCTACTCAGTTTTGAGTATAAATGTTATTTATTGCCTTGCGGTTTTCTTTTCAAATATTTTTTATGACTAATAATTTGGATTGAACGTTTATTAAATTTGATTGTGATGCTATAAATCGAATTTGTCGAAATGTTTATCTTCTCCAGGTATATGGCTATTTGATCGGGTTTGCCAGAGCCAAATCTATCGAACTTAGACGAAGTTCCCACTATCAAGTTATTAAGGGCAGATTAATTACAAGGAAATCAATAATCAAACAGTTATAAAGCAATGTGTACATATTTAAGTAATTGTAATAATCTCTAATTGAATGCCTATGTCACATGATGCAAAAACATTAATTTAGTACTTCACCATTTTATAATAAAATAATTTGTTGATTGCGATCCTTTCTCTCATTCTATTGGAGCACTGTTATAATCGTTTCTATTCATTAGTAAATAATATTGGACCTGGTTTAATCGAATTGGGCACAATTTATTCTGCCTTCTTTTTTTGATATACTGTTTAATTAATTGTAATTAAACGTGGTTCGAAAATCAATTACATTAAACGTATCGCCAGAATAAAGTTTAACTGTCGATCGTATATTATACGCATGGTCCAATAAAATTTAACCTATCTAGTTTTGTGAAATGCCAGGGATGAATAAAATTTATCGGTAGTTTGAAATTATTAACATGTGGTTGTGTGAATATCGCCGAAATTGTTTTGTTTCGTTATTATGTTTTATTCAGAGATTTCACGTGTACCGTGTTCGCGATTTACACATGCAAATTAAAGTCCCTATATAACCGCATTATGTAAATGTTGGTGGTTAGTTCGGAAATGTTTCTCTCTTGTTCTACGAGTTGCAGTAATTAAAAAAGTCCAGTTGTAATGTTCCAACACTAGCATTTCTGCTGATTAATTTGCAGTTTTTAACAAAAACTCGAATAAAAATTAATATCCATGCAAAAATGTTTTGAGTACTTTTTGCTGAGAATATCTAACTATGAAAAATGTTTTGACTATGTTTATGTTTGTTGTGCTACGATTAAGTGTTAAATTTTAACTCATTTAAGTAATATCATTTTCAAAATTAAAAAAAAATATAATGTAAATTTTAGTACCATTGCAAAAAAAAATCTTATAAAAGCTTTAAAAGTTATCAAAGGTGCTTCTAAAGTCAACATAATGAAATGTTTAACGTTTGATGTCACACAATAAAATTACTCTTTGAACATGATGGACGAAAGTGGAATTTTTTACACAGTGAATTTATTCTTGTTCGTCCGGCCCTCGGTGGTAAAGAAATATGCTTCTCCTCGGGAAAATAGCGTTACGAGCAAAGGAAACGACCACTGGCAGTGGCTCACCGATCACAGAAAGCATAAAAGTTCCTTTTTACCTAGGATATGACACCACCTTGTCCGGTCGTTTGGTGTCGATGTAAAAGATACGGTTTTGTCTGGTACTGGCAGTGAATAATGGAAAATATACGGACTGAAAAGTCAAATATTTCTCGTTTTTATTATTACGATCCTATTTTGTTCTTATTTCTTTGTGACGAGACACATTTAAAGTTTTAATTAATTGATTTGAACGGAAGATAAAGTCACTTTTCAATTAAAAACGCAATTTCACTTTTTTTATGTTTTTAAACTTAAATAAACTAGACACTTGAATTTTACAAAATTCAAATAGTACATCGGTATATGATTGAATATTAAATTTAAAAACACGGCAATTTCAATACCATTTCCAATTATAGTTACGCAATGTGATTGGAATTTTTTATTTGGATGGCTATTATGATTTATGTAGCTGATAGAGACTTATACAACATTTAATTGATTTATATTAATTTAAACAGTTAATTTGTAAAAAAGTCTGTGTACATCTTGAGATAAAGTATCATAAAAGGTATGCAAAGACGGTGTTAAAACATTTTTTTTAAATAAATTATATTAAATACTTATACTAAAAAAAAGGAACTCGTGTACATTTATCGAGAGCCA